CTGAGGCCAGAGCCCCACCCAGAATAATTAGACGGTGGTTCTCCACTGGGGTGACTTTGCCCCCAGGGGACATTTGGCAATAGCTGAAGACATTTTTGGTTATCATGACTAACGATCTGGTATGACTGGTACCTAGTGGGTAGGGGGCAGGCATGCTGCTAAACACCCTACAATGCGTGGGACAGAGCCCTGTAAGTGAAGATCGGGCCCCAGATGTCATAGTTCTGAGGTTGAGAGACTGCTGTAGGCATCACAGTATTTTAAAAGTCCCCCCTACCCCCAGCCAGGCTCGAGAACCTCTCCTCTCCCCAAACTGGCGCCTGCCAGCGTCCTCACCCTCATCTTCTACCCTTGCGCCCTCACTCCCCATGGTCTGCCACCACCGTCTTCTTTCTGGTCCTCACACACTCCCTGCTCATTCCTACCCCCGGGCCGTTGAATGCGTTGTTCCCTCTGCTGGGTGTGGCCAGCCCCACATCTGCACAGTCGGCTCCTACCCAAACATCACCTCCGAGAGGCTGCCTGGACCCCCGTCCTCCGACGCACGTGCACACCTAAAATGGCCCCAACACTCAAGTCCCTCTGTAGCGCCATCTCTCTGGTTTGTTTCTTTCAACACTCTGGGACCTACTCAAAGGATCTTATCGCGACTTTAGTACTCGTCTGTCTCCCCTACTAGAATGATAGCCCTCTGAGAACAGGGTCCATGTCTGTCTTACTCATCACTGTCTCCTAGCATCCAGCGAAGTACTTAGAACTTAGTAAATGTTCACTAAATATCTGTTGAATGAATGAATGAATGAATGAATGAACGCCTGAATAAGCATTGGAGGAGGGTAGGGTTTCAGATATTGGCCCCACTTTCCTCTCCTGGTCTCAGTGTCCACATCTGTAATATGGCTGGATGGGTTCCATGGAATCCAGGCTGCCCCAAAGGAGGGCCTCTCAGAGACATCGATTTCTGGGTTTTGCTTTCTCTTTGTCTCCATGGCACCAAGCTTGGCCCATGTTCTTGTCACCAGATAAGTCGCAAATTACCTCCCACTGAGATCCTAATCATTTCGTAATTCTGCCTGGTCTATTTTCCTCGGGGACCTTTCCTATTCCCATTTTCTTTTGCACCAGCTGGGCACATCTGGTGTCAATGGTGGGCACGTAATAGGTACTTCCTCGGCGATATTCTGCAGGGGATCGTTCCCAAGTAGGAGTTGGATTAGAATGGGCTGGGGAGCTTTGTAAAAAGGCTTTACCTGCAAAGAGACTTGATGCGTTGGGTCTAGGGTCATGTGGTAGACTGACAATGGTCCTCAAAGACATCCAGATCCTAATTCGGGGAAACTGTGAATGTTACCTTATATGGCAAAAGAGACTTTGTAGATGTGATTAATTACACAGCTTGAAAGGGGAGATGGCCCTGAATTATCTGGTTGGGTCCTAAATGCAATCACAAGTACCCTTATAAGAGGGAGATTTTACCACAGAAGGAGGCCATGTGACAATGGGAACAAGATGCTAAACTGATGGCTTTGAAGGTGGACAAAGGGCCATGAGCCAAGGATGGCAGCTCTAGAAGCCCGAAAAGGCAAGAGGACAGAGTATTCTCTTGAGCCTCCAGAAGGGAACACAGCTCTGACTTCATTTTAGCCCCGTGAAACCCACTCCAGACTTTGGACCCCTAGACCTGTAAGAGAGTAAATGTGTGCATCGTTTTAAGCTGCCACGTTTGCGCCAATTGGTTATGACAGCCCCAGGGAACGAATACAGGTAGCACCCGGGAATCTGTTTTAAAGATCTTCCTCCTTTTGCTGGCTCTGAGGCAGGGCAGCCAGGTGGACCACGCTTTAGGAAGCATCACTCCGGAGACATTCCAGCCTGCTTCGCAAACACAGCCCATTCTTAGAGAACTAAAGAGTTTTGTTAGAGGTGGAAGGACACTGCAAGGAACATCCACTTCTCTCTGCTCATTTTGCAGATGGGGAAACCGAGGCCCAGGAAACTCCACAGCAAGGTTCAGGATGAGAGAGATGCTTTCATTCAACTCTATCCTTATTGGCTTTTGAATTCCATTTGGAGGTTTTAAAATGAGCTATTGTGCAGACTGTCGATAGCTTTGCTATCTCCTAATGACCCAATCGTGAAACGATTTAGCAATCCTGCTAATTGCATTTGGGGCTATAGCAGTTGGGTAACTAGTTGGTGATTACTCACTCCCCAAGAGCCATACACATTGCATTACAAGGAAGCTAATCTTAGAAATACTTGTTAACTTCGATGATAATTACTAAGTAATTGGCTAGAACATGCCATTGTGAATTTATCCAGAATATGCCAGGGAATTATCTGGTCTCATGTTCCCTGTAAAATAAATCCAGGGTCCAAAAATTGTTCCAGTTGGTTGGCTACCATCCAACCGTCGACCTCTGCCAGCCAATTGTGTGAATGCAAGTGATTAATCAAATTACTCCAATATTTGGTTTCCAATGGAACGTTGAGATAAGAAACCTGGGTGGCCAACAAGTGGACAGTACAAAATGGGAGAGGGGGTGTACAGAGCCCCTCCCCACCAGATAAATATATAATGACACAATGACATGGAATAAATGCTACCTCTTTGGGGCTCATCTGGCTTCTTCACACAAAATATTGAAACACTTTAGAGACCAATTACATGTCCCAAAGCTGCAGAGCCTTTATCGCGGTGCCAGGAAAAGGCTGTGCTGTTTGTGAAATCTGCAGGCAGTTATGGTGCTTGGGGAAGGGGGCTCAGGGTTTTGCACATAATAGAAAGGGGGCTGCCCACGCAGCTGGCTTGCAGGATGAGCGACACATTTTCATAATGGCCACTCATTTTCCAAGGATGGTCGCGAACTGAATCCATCCACTTCCCATTAGCCAGCCCTTGGAAAAGGGGTGAGAGACGCTTGGGTTATTGGGTTCCACTGATTCCACTGAAAAAGTCAGAGGGTGGGAGGCAGAAGGACCTTAGGGAGGCCAGGCAAAGGAGAAGAGATGATGGACTTCACATTTCTAATCTGGGGATGTAGAAAAAAAGAGAGGGTAGCAGGTCAGAAGGTGAGTAGCTGACCAAAATTGGGGAACAGACTGTTGGGAGCAGTGGGCAGAAGGCCAGTGGTGGGGAAAATACCACCTTCCAACCAGACTTGTGCCCCCCAAGTAAAGGGCTATTGACTGCCTGCTGATGAAGTTGGTGCATACTGGATAAGATGGGGAGGAAGAAAGGGGCCAAGGGGCTTGTGGTCGTAGGTTGTAAAAATGGCCACTGATTGTCCTTCTCCTTGCATCCATGCCCTTGCAACGTGACACTGCAAATCTCCCATCCAGAGGAAGAGTCTGTCTCTCCATGCCTTGAATGGAGGTTAATCACGTGACTTGCTTTGGCCAATAGGGTTCGACCTCTTGTTGCACTTGCAACACTGAGACCACCGTGGCAATGAGCCCAAGTAGCTTGTTGAGGGATGAGAGGCCATGGGGAAAAATACGAGGCACCCCAGCTGACAGTCTGCCAGCCCAGAGTGAGGGAGTCCACGACCCATCAGGCCCCAGTCTGACCTGTCAGCTCACTACAGACGCATCCAAGAGCCCAGCTACTGAGGCTGGCTCAGCGCAGAATTGACCACAGAATAGAGAGAAAATATGAAGTACTAGGGTAGTTTATTACTTGGCAAAAGCTTACTGATACACTCACCTAATCAGAGCACCTCAGCCCCTGAATATTACCTGGGCTGATTACCTGAGAGCCCCTCTGTCCTGTGCAGAGTTGAGAACCACCATTTTTACCCTGGTTTAAGGAGAGTTGAAGGGCCATGCCTAGGTCTCCAGTACTTTGCAAGCACTTACCATTTGACATGTGGGTCCCAGTCCACCCACCATCTGCATAATCAACGGTGACAGATAATAACACACTTTCCACCAATCACCAACATCTTATAAATGGACTCAAAGAGGCTTCGTATCACAAGGAAGCAGATCATAGACACATCAGCTCTCTGCTGAGCCCACAGCCTCCTCAATGGCACCTGCGAAGATGTGTTTTGGGGAACTCATTGCTTGAGTTGGGTATGGGACGGAGAGGGCTCCTAACTGACCCTTGCCTATACCCAGAACGCCACTGCTGTGGCCAGTCCTAATGCGACAAGGGAGCAAATGCCAGAGATTAAAAACACGCCAAAGGACTGTCCCACAACTGTTGAACTAAAACCAAAGCTTTTTTTTTTTTTTTTTCAGTGCCCCATGTCACTGGGGCAAGGTTAGAGAGAGCAAGTCCAAGAAAGTTCCTAACATCTGACATTTTCTTAATGTCAGTTCTCTACTAATGGTCCCTTCTGTGTAGCTATAGACCACAGATCCTGGACATGTAAAACAGCAATGGTAAGGCCCTGCAAATGTGCTCTGTTGCTTTGATGAAAGAGAGAATAATAGTCATCAGCATCTTAGTCTAGATCGGCGAACGAGGGTCTGTGGGCCAAATCCAGCCCATTGCCTGGTTTTACAAATAAAGTTTTATTGGCACACAGCTGGGTACATCCATTTACATCTTGCCTGCGGCTGTGTTCACACTACAGTGGCAGAGTTGAGTAGTTACTATAGCAACTGTATGGCCCGCAAAGCCGAAAATGTTTACTAAAAAGGTTGCAGACCCCTGATTTAGTCTAATCCACTCCAATTTACATGTGGGGAAGTCTCAGAGATGCGGTTTCACAAATACTTGAAGCACAGGGGGATCAAGAGCCCATTTTCTGACTCCCCAAGTAGTGCTCTCTCCATGGCACAGCGCTGCCAGAGGGTTTTGGCATTAAACTAACTTTCTGGAATCGCAAATCTTAAAAGCACACAAACTGTGAACGGTAGAGCTAGAGGCGCGCTCGTCGCCAGCACGTTGCGTTCACCAGAACCCCCATTTCTCAACTCCACCGGAAGCAGAGCTCTGGGAACCCGCGCGTGGTGGTGGTGGTGGTGGGGGGGGCCCAGGCAGCACTGACCTGGTGATGATGGCCAGGTGGGGCGGGCTCATGCAGGCGCCCATGAAAAGCACCACGTTCTCGTGCCGCGTCTGCCTGTAGGCCATCACCTCCCGCTTGAAGGCCTTGAGCTGATCCTCGTTATCCCTCTCGATGTCGATCAGCCGGATGGCCACCTCCCCGTGCCAGCGGCCGTGGTACACCTGCCCGAAGCGGCCCTTTCCGATGAGCTCGCCGATCTCCAGCTGCTCAAAGGGGATGTCCCACTCCTGCAGGAAGATGCTGGTCTGGCTGGCCTTGCGCGGGAAGCTCCGGGCCGAGAGGAGGGACAGGTTCATCTCCTCAAAGTCGTCCTCTGACTCCTCGGCCTCATCGTGGCCCTCTTCATTCTGTGGCCGGAGAGGGAGAAGGGTCAGAGCTGTTCCTGCACAGCCCCCCCCCTTCCCACGCGGTCCTGGGGGGGGTCCTGTTGTACGTGTGCCGGCCGGGCCACATCTCTATGTGCCTTTTCAGCTGGCGTGTACATCTATCTCTGGGTGTGCCCCCATATCGTTCTCTCTTTGTCTCAAACCGTATACGATGAAGGAGCTGAAAGGGAGATCGTGAGAATCCAACTCTCTTGTGCTCAGGGGGAAACTGAGGCTCAGAGAGGCAAAATGCTTGGGGGGGGGCCACCCATTCCAGTTTGCTGGGACTTTCCTGGTTGGGGTACCAGAAGCCCTATGCCTCGGGTAACCCCTCAGTCCTAGCAAATGGGGATAGTTGGTCGCCTGGGAAGTGCCTCGTTCTAGGTCACTAGGCGGAGCTGGGATTAAGATTCAGGGGTCTTGACTCCTAATATCGGATGTGCTCTTGTGCTACCATGATGTTTTGACTTGCCTGACTATGCGTGCGTGATAAAGACGATAGGCTAAAATCGGGGTTCGTCAAGCATCTGCATGTGACACGTGACAACCCTCAACACGGAGTGCCTTTTGCTTCCCCCAGAAAGCTTGGAATATATAAATCTGAAGCTGGGAGAGCTCTGAGCTACTCTGTACAGGCCAGAAGCCTAGAGGCCTGGGGTTCCTGTGCAGCCAGAGGGCAGGAGATATGAGAGTGAGAGGTTGATAGACTGGGCTTAAGAATCAGACCGAATGAGCCGGAGTCTGGCCTCGGTGTGACCTTGGGCAAGTCATTTTGCTTCTCTGAGCCCTCCTTTCCTCGTCACAAAGAGGGGCTACTCAAATCTGCCCCTGGGGGTGGTGTGAGGTTTTCAACGAGAGAAAGGCCTGTTAAGTTCTTTGCACAGACCTGACCACCTCTATGAAACACACCGAAATGCCTGTGAAAATGCAGAATCCTGGGCCCTACCCGGATCTACTGACTCCAAATATAAGCAGGCCAGGGCCAGGAATCTTCATTTTTATCCCGCACACCCACAAGATTCAGGTACACTTAGGCGTGACCACACTGGAGGTTTAGGAATCTGCATTTACAGGGGTCTGGAGGATACCCTGTTCCTTAAATTCTGTCGCTGGAATGTAGAAGTAGCAGATGCCTGAGAAGACATCTTCTCAGGAGACAGCGGAGGGATTCCCAGGGGCTTGGAGCCTGACGAGACAGCCTGAGAAGGTGGCCCCCTGTCTGGGTGCAGGCCTTCCTGACCCTAAACCTAAGCAAGCTGTCCCCAGCGGCACACTCAGGAGAAATGACACAGGAAACAACGGCTTCTTCAAGAGTCATGTTTTGCCGACTACAGTAGCTCCAGAAAAGGCCCCATGGTTTTGTCGGGTAACTCCGACTCTGTTCCCTTCAGTTCCGTCAGGGCTCCATGGTGTTCACTCAGGACACCACGTTTATTCCTCCGGCATCTCTGGCAGGTAGGAAGAAGCCCCAGAACATTCTCAACACCCCGCCAAGCCCAGTGTCCCTGAGGCCCCCGCCTCCTCCCATGTAGTCTTAGGAGGCAGTGAGTACATCCCCCTCGGGGTTTCTCCAGCCCTGAGCTGGTTTTTCAACTAAGAATGCAAACCGTTTGCCAACTTCCGCACAACTAGCTTTTCCCGGATGCACACCATATAACGGCCCATTAGGCTCACTGCCGGGAGGGGCCTCCGCTTGTTACTTGTCCCCAGACTTAGAACATCCATCACTCAGGGCCCCCGCACCCGCTGGCTGCCCTGAGCCCTCTGCGTCATCAAAGCCATCGCTTGGCTTAGCTGGAAAAAGTTGCTTTGCCGCTCGCCAGTTCTCACCTCTGAGGTTGGCTCCACTTCAATTTGAAGTAATGGATTTCCTTCCAAGCTTTAAAGAAAGAAAAATAAACGTGACCCCTGGGTACAAAGGTGGGTCCATGTGCTGAGTTTATCCGTCTATGAAGAGTCCCAAAATGAGAAGTCCTTGCCACCAAGCCTTTATCTCGAATTTCACTTCAATGCTTGTGTCTGAAATAATCCATAACCTTGCCATAGAGAAGCAGTGTGCAAGGACGCTTTTAAATAGATTTTCTGGGCTGCTCAGGGATCATTTTTCTTTATTGTTTTCGTTTCCACTAATCTAGCAGCTTCCTTATAAACTGGCCTAAATGCCATGAGTGGAGGGGTCCTCAGAGCTCTTCGTGTTCCCTAGGAAAGAAGTAATGAGATCTCTAAAGCTCCCTCAAAATCAGGATGTTGTGGTGTTCATTTGTTTGTTTGCTTGTTCATTCATTCATTCGGTTTGTAGTACTAAGTATATATATCAAGTACTGAGGGTGTATTCTGGGAAGGGCTCTGTGCAAGAGTTGTTCTGTGCATTTGATTTGGGTATACATACTGGGGATATGGGGGCCATGATGTACATTGATGGTGTCACTGGGTATGTACTGGGGATGAGAAGGAAATGTTGGGGTACATGGTATGTGATGGGGATGTGGGGTGCAGTGTGAGTTAAAGGATTTTTTGGGGGGTATGCTTTAGAGTAGATGATGTGTATGTGTTTATGGGGTGAGCTAGAACTGGTGGGAAGAAGCAATCACAATGGACACCATGCCCTCTTCTTATTTTCTGAGCTTAGCAAATTCCCCTTACCTACCTCCTCATTTGGGGGGGGGCCTCCCCTATCCTGAGCCTCAGACCCCAGGAAGCAGCTGACCTTGCAGACAGAGTCAATCTGCCTGCTGGAGGGGCTCCTGGTGAGAGGCAGCCTAAGAGAATGTAAGAACTCTTAAGGAGGAGAAAGACGCGTCGGTGACAAAGTGGCATTTGCCATTATATTCACCAAGTATTTATAGTATAGGCTGGGAAGGCAGAATGAAACCGCTCAGTGACAGCTGAGATGCTGGGAACTTGACACCCTGGGGGAGACTTGGGTGGAAGGCTGCAGCTGGAGGCCCTCCTCACACCCCACAAAGCGGGGGCCTTCCTTGGCTTGCATCAAGGCGTGATTGCAGCAGCCGGGGCTATTAAATTATTTCCCTTCTGCAAAGAGTTAGCTCCCATCACTCCACGCACATGTAAGCAGATCGCAGGCAGTTATTAACTCTGTTTTTTTTTGCGGGCACTCCCCGACTGCCGGTTAATAACCTGGAGTTTGCCTCACACAAATTGTGGAATTGGTTTACGCGCAGCCGAGAAATGATCCAGAGCTGCTACATGTCAGCATGATACCCACCGGCAAATTGCTGCTTTTTTCTTTTTTTTTTTATTTCAGAGATGTACCCATTTGGGTCTTTAACAAAGTCCTGAACATGGGTCAGAAAGGATACAGCAGCTAGCAGAGTGAGAGGAAAAACGCAACTAAGCAAAAAACGAGAGCTGGGAAAGCAGTTAAACCGAAATTAGCTCCCTCGCATGCCTCAGACTTCAGTCACAAGCCAAGAAGTTAAGGAAGGTGATTTCGTGTGGGCTGCATACGCATTCGACCACCTGGAAAGAGGGTCTGTATCCTAAGGATGCTAAAGACGCCACACACGGAGATGTCCCTTACGGTGGTGTTTACCACAGCGAAACATGGGAAGACAGAGGATCCGGCAACAGGGAAATGGTGAAGGGAATTAGTCCACGTTGCTGTGATATTCTACAGCCATTAAAAACAACGTGTATGAAGAGTCTGGAATAACATGGAAAACGCAAAGCTGTAGCATTCACGGATAAAAAAGCAGGCTAGAAACGGCACATATTGTGGATCACAAGTAAGTAAACTATGAGTAGAAAGGGGACACATCTAAGGGTGGTGTGATTCTACGTGATGATTTATTTCTCCTGTCTCTTTTCACAGAATAGTCCAAATTTCCCAAAATTAGCCTATCTTATTTTTATAATGATATAAACCAAAGGTCAGCAAATCTTGTTCTGTAAAGGGCCAGATAGTAGGTGTTTTAGACTTTGTGGGCCATAGGGTCTCTGTCACAACTATTCAGCTCTGCTGTTGGGAGTTTGAAAACCACCACAGACTACACTGTAAACAAATGGGCGTGGCTGCATTCCAATAAAACTTTATTTATAAAAGCATGTATGGCAAGTTGGATTTGTCCCATAGGCTATAATTTGCCGGTCCCTGGCATCAACCTAAATTACGCTTTTTAAAAGGGGGGCAATGACATAGCATAACTCTCCTCCCATTCAGCTCTAGCTATTACCTGGGACAAGTTGTCTTTCTGAGCACAGGACGGTCTGGAGGTCCTAAGGAAATGGCCTGACCCCTGGAAATCACATGTGACAGGTGGGGCCAGATACCTAAAGCAGAGCTGACTCCTGGGGGCCAGCGCTGCCTCTCTCGGGCTGGGCTGTCACACTCCCCCCTTCTCTTTGCCTGAATCATGACCTGTGTTTCTCTGTCCCCCTATATCTTCTCCCCCTGCCTCCCAGCCCCTCAATTCTAGAAAAGGGGAGAAAGAGAACAGGGATCTTGAGCAGCCGGAAGGGCCAGGGCAGGGGAATGGGGTCTCTGTTCCAACTTACATTGGATTCGAGGTCACTGGATGCAGGATGACCTGCGGCGCCCGGGTCGGCGTCTCTGGCACTGGCACTACATCTGAGAGCCAGAGATTAGACAGTCAGAAAACACATATGGAGTCCACAACCGCCCCCCTAAAGCCTGATTTCTGGAAGATGCTGGCAGCTAAGTAACTTCTTACCAGATCACAGATCCCTGGGGCTGGCCAATCCCCTCTCTCTCTTCCTCAACCACTTGAACTTCACCCACTCAGATGCACCAGTGTTCTGGATGACATCCTGACCAAAATCCCCTATTGTCACCTAGGGGGCCGCCAGAACCCCCCAAGTCTCTGGCCTGAAGCACCCACTGGACATCTCCAAATCCTCCTCAATTCCTGAGTTCCCTTTGGAATGATGAGGTTACTTGGTTTCACATCTCCCAGTGCCCAACCAACTCAATCCCCACGGCCCATCGGCCAGGTGGCTCTGGACCGTTCCTACCCTCGCCGTCCTTCCTCTGTAGACCACCCTCTCAGGCCTTTCTGCTGTGCCTTGGGGCCTTGTGGGTGACATCGTGCCCTTGGGACCTCCCACGCTTTCCTTCGCCACATCCAGCCATGACCCTACGGTCTGGGGAAGCCACCACTGCCCTCTTTGAGTTTGTCTGCCTGATATTTGCCCCGTTCCTTCTAGCCAGTCCCGCACATCAGCGGGCTCGCTCAGAAGGGGCTGAGCTCACACGAGACTCACCTGGGAAGATAAACTGCTGCTTGTATTTGTAGTAGTGGGACGCTGGTGAGAGAAAGAAAACGCCAGAGTGAGTGCCACCCTGGGGCTGCCCGTTCGGGTCCCCAGCTGGGCTCCCACAGCCACCATGTGGGTTCTCTGCCCACTCTTGATGGTTTTCAGACTTTGCTGCAGACACCCCACATTCCAAAGGACTGAGAATAGGTGTAAAGAAACCAGAGCTCTAAATATCTAAGCCACCCCTCCCATTTGATGCTCCCTGAAAACAGAGCCGCCCCCACCCCCAACTCAGAGAGTCATCCTCAGCACAATTCCATTTTTGGTAAATGCGTAAGAACACACACAAACATCTGTAGAGCCATAATCTCAAATATTAATTTTTCCCCCTTTTGGCAGTGATTACCATGGTTTTAAAAAAACAAAAAACAAACACCTCTTTATGCGTTTCCTGTGTTTTGCTGCACTGAGCATTGTATTAGTTTTCTTGTTGCTGCTGTAACAAATGACCACAAACTCGGTAGCTTAAAACGACACAAATTTATTCTCTTACAGTTCTGGAGGTCAGAAGTCTGAAGTAAGTCCTAACAGTTAAAAATCAAATTGTCAGCAGGGCTGGTTCATTCTGGAAGCTCTACAGGAGAATCTGTTCCTTGCCTTTTTTGGCTGTTGGAGCTGCCCGAATTCCTTGGCTCATGACCCCATCACTCCAATCTCTGCTTCGGTCCTAACATTGCCTCCTGCTGTTTTAGACCTTCTCACCTCCCTTTTACACGGATCCTTGTGATCACAGAGTCCACCCAGCTAATCCAGGATAATCTCCCATCTCAAGGTCCTTAATTTAGTCACATCTGCAAAGTTCCTTCTGCCATGTAAGGTAACATATTCACAGATCCCAAGATTAGAACGTGGTCATCTTTCAGGGACCATTATTCTGCCTACCACAAGTATGGGTTAAGCTCCATATTTAGGGGAAAAAATCATGTGAAAGACATTTCCTTAACTTCACTGCTTGATTCACCTACAATTCACTTTACTTCCATTCCAGTCCCCAGAGGCCAGTTCTTGCAGACAATCTCCAGGTTTCTAATGTAACCACTTACTCTAGTGGGGTGGAGGGCCTGCAGCAGGGGGCGCAAGGGGTGCCAGGGGCAGTGGACAGATCACACAGAACTTTATGTCCCCAAGTAAAGGAAGTGAGCAAGGATGGGGTCAGATAATGAGTCTGAATTGACGAATATACATCTAGAAACAATTTTATTCATTTAGGGACATGTCACAGCTCGTCCAATTCTTGGACAAGTCACCAAGAATTAGCATAGCGTTTATGAGCCTGGGGGTCTAGAAACTGATCCTTCAGGGTCGAAGCCTTGCTCTTCCTTTGGTTGCTTGTAAAAGCTTAGACAGCTCTCTGCAAGTCTCAGTTTCCACGTGTCTATAATGGGGATAATAATAGTCTCTCCCTGACAGAGCTGAGCTCTTCATGACACGAGAGAAGAGAGCCTGGTAGGTGTGGAATACATATTCTAAGCTCTCTTAACTAAGGGACAAGAATGAGTTTTAATTAAGAGACAATCGGGTCGTTTCAAAGCGCAAAGTCATTAGCTGCCCCTGAGGCTGGAATTGATTTATAAACTCCCCCCGGAGAGAGAGCAAGTCCTGGCATCTCGGGATCCCGAGCACCTGGTTTGGTGCCTTGGGCTGGTGGGTACGCCACTCCTGTTGAATTAATCCACTCTTTTTTTAGTGCAGCCATTCCCAAACAGCCCAGACAGTTGGAATCCAAATGGATGCATTTTTGATTTTGGATGACAAGATGCCCAGGAGGAGAAGCAACTCATTCAAGGTCACCGAGCAAAGCTTTAAAAGAAAACCCACTTCCATGATTTCCAAAACTTTTCTTCTGTTAGGTAACCTAGGTTTTTTGGGTTTTTTTTTCATTGCACGCAAGCATTTTGCTGTCAACAAGGGGCTAAAATTAAAAGAAGAAAAACTAGCCAGGGTTCTCAAGAGGCTTAGCTGATCTCATCCCTTCCCAGCTGGAATGGGGGATTCAGTGTCTGCAGGCGAGGTTTACTGGCAGTTCCAGTCTTCTGAAGAGGAGGGGCTGGGCGGTGGCGAGCAAGCCCTGCTCTGAGAAGGGGACAGGTGTCCGGCAATGGGACACCCGGCAAAGGGCCGCACGCACAGAGTCAGCCACTCCTCGACCCCGCGAACCCTCCGAACCCTCCGTGTGCAGGACAGCAGCTGTTCCTGATGACTGAAAGGGAGGGACGGGCCCGGGAGGGGGAGAGCCACCCCTGTGAGCCCTGTTCTTGCTGATAACAGACACCAACGAGAAGCGGCTCCAAGGGGCAGCTGACGAACCCGCGTGGTCTGCTCAGGAGAGCTAGTGGCTCCCGGCTCGCTGGCGTCAAGAGGACTTGGAGACTGGGAGGCTTCAGATGACCATGAATCAGGGCGACCAGGAGGCCATCTGGAAGGCACTTCCGCTCTCCCCAGAGAGCCGCCTGAGTGGTCTTATGAAAGGAAGGGTCTAGAAGGAAGAAGGGTCAAGTCATCCCCCTGCCTCAACCTTTCAATCGCCTCCCCTTGTGTCTTAAATACAATCTAAATTCCCGCCACGCCCTACAAAGCGCCGCCAGGCCTCACCCCTGCAGCTCCGAGTCATACTTGGTGCCATTTCCCCTTGTTTATGGCACTCAGGCCATCGGGACAGTTGTTCAGCTCTTTCCTGTGTCGGGGCCTTTGCACGTGCTCCCCTCTCTCTGCCTGGACCACATCTGCGACTCAGCTGCCTCTGGCCTTTCAACTTGCAGTCGTTCTCTTCTTGAATTTGCTCATAGCACTGCTTTCCTCTTTCTTAGCACTTAGGCCATTTTATAATTCCATTTTCATGTGTATGTTTGCTTGGTTAACACCTGTCTCTCCCAGTAAGCTACAAACTCCATGAGAACAGAGACTGTGATAGGCAGAATAATGTGCGCCCCCCCCCCACCACAACCAATGTCCACGTCCTAATCCCTTAGAAACTGAATACATTACGTTACACGGCAAAAGGGACTTTTCAGATGTGACTAAGTTAAGGGTCTTGAGATGGGGAGATAAGTCTGGATTCTCTGGGTGAGTCCTAAATGTCATCACAAGGATCCTCATAAGAGGGGGGCAGGACAATCGGAGTCAGAGAGAGACAGTCAGACAAGGAGATGTGATCATGGAAGAAGTTGGAGGGAGTGACGTGGGGCCACAAGCCGAGGAATGCTGGCAGTCACTAGAAGCTGAGAAAAGGCAAAAAAGGAAATGGATTCTTCCCTCGCAGCTCCAGAAGAAACCAGTCCTGATGACGCCTTGAGTTTTAGTGTAGTGAAACAGACTTTGGACGTGTGAGCTCCATAAAGATACGATAATACACGTGTGCTGTTTTGAGCCGCTATGCTTGTGGGCATTTGTTACAGCAGCGACAGGATGCTCATACAGGGCATGTCTGGTGTGTGCACCGCTCTATTGTACACGGTACTGGGTACACTGGAGATGCTCAAACACGTGTTAAGCAAATGAATGGAGGAAGGCGGTCTGAGGGCCGGAAGGCAATACGCAGAGGGAAACACTGCAGCCCTGGTATGTGCATGAACCTCAAGGGGGCAATTCGTGAGCTAGACGTACCTTCGGGGTCCTGTCGCCCACCTAGGTCAGAGGTGAGAAAGGTGAAGTCAGAGGTCACAAGGCAGGGACATGACGGAGCTGGGTGCTGAACTGAGAACTCCAGCCCGCTCGCTCATTCAGAGCCTTAGCCTGACATCCGGAGTAAGGCTCAGAATTCGGCCCTGCTCAGGTGTGTGGCCCCTGAGATCCTGGGCGCAGTGTCCTGCTGCCGATTTCCAGAGACTTAGATCGTAAGACAACTGCCACCTCCAGAGCAGAAGGTGCCCCGTGATTAGACTTAGGTGGAGGCACTGGGTTGCTGCTTACCAAATAACAGAGCCTCCAAAAGTACCTTTCCTTCCCAGAGCTGAGTTTCCTCATCTGTAAAATGGAGCTGATCACACTCACCTCCTGCCTACTCTAAAGATCAATAAGGTAGTAGGTGTCAGTTGCTCTGCAAATGGCAAGACTCAATCCACATGCCTTCAACCCATTGCCTTCAAGCATGGACAGGTCCCAAAACGACCCTGGCACGAACCCAACACCCGCCTTGACTCCCCAAGCACGGAGGTACCTGGCAGGTTGAAGTTCTTCTGTTGCCTCGTGCACTGTGGGGACGGGTGCAACGGGGAGGGTGGCGTGGCGCTGGGAGGCAGCGGGGGTGCCGGCGAGGAGGGCGTGGAGGACGTCGTGGACGAGGGATTGCTGCTAGAGTCTGGCTGGTAAGGGACAGGGATGTGGTCCTGCAGGAAGAAAACAGGGCAGGGGACAGGCAGGGAACAGAGACACAGCAGTGAGAGTGATCTGCGCAGGAACAGATCCCGCCCCGGCATCCTCAGCCCTCCTTTCGCCATCCCCCAGAGCCTGCCAAAGTCCCACCTGCTTTGTCATCCCCACCAGATTGCATCCAGCTGTGGGAGGAATAGTTTCTGGAGTCAGAGACCTATCCACTGTCTGGACCCCTGAGCAAAAGGTTACCACGTAATGAAAACCACGTAGGTGATGACCACGCTCCCTGTGCTTCTTTGATTTTGGAAAGTCCCACGCTGAGGTGGCCAGAGTGCTCCCCGCATCCTGACACCTCTCCTCCTGAGTGTTTATTAAAGAATCAACAGCCTGACAGCTCACGAGAGAGTGAGAGAACATAAGAGAAGCCTTCAGCATCCTCCGTTCCATCTCAGTTGGAACCAGCTCAGCCTCTCCTCGCCCCTGAGCCGGCTGTAAAGCAAAGACGAAGACAGGATCCACGTGTGCCCCCTCAGAACGGCCCTGGTAGGGGTGAGGTCAGGAGCCAGGTAGTGGGTTAAACAGTGTCCCCCAAAAGACATGTCTGCCTGGAACCTCAGACCGTGACCTTATTTGGAAGAAGGTCTCTGCAGATATAATTAAGGTAAGGATCTCAAGATGAGAGCATCCTGAATTAGGGCGGGACCTAAATCCAATGTCAAGTGTCCTTAAAAGACAGAGAAAAGGAGACACACACACATGGAGGAAAATGTCAGAGGAAGACGGAGGCAGACATCGGACTGATGCTTCGACAAGCCAAGGATTGCCAGAGGTACCAAAGGTCAGAGAGAGGCAGGGACTGGCTTCTCCCTCAGAGCCTCCAGAAGGAACCAGCCCTGCCGACGCCTTGGTTTCAGACTTCTGGCCTCCAAAACTGCGAGAGAATAAATGTCTGATATTTTAGCTACCCAGTTGATGGTCACCTGCTATAGCAGCTCCAGCAAAAAAACATAAGCAGGAACTGGAGTAACCATATGCCAGGCTCAGTGTGGTCTTTCAATGAATGTGTGCTGCTAGACAAAGGAAAAATGAAATAAAGACATGAAGGGTGGAGGGGTGGAAAGAAGGAGGAGGAAATGTAGGAAGCCCACAGTCCTCCTTTTAAAGCAGCGGTTCTCAACCTTCCTAATGCCGCGACCCCTTAATACAGTTCCTCGTGTTGTGGTGACCCCCAACCATCAAATTATTTTCGTTGCTACTCTATAACTGTAATTTTGCTACTGTTATGGATCGTAATGTAAATATCTTTTTGTTTTCTGATGGTCTTAGGCGACCCCCGTGAAAGGGTCATTCGACCCCCAAAGGGGTCACGACCCGCAGGTTGAGAACCACTGTACTAGACTATCTTACTCATCTTGGAATCTGCAGAACGTAGCACAGAAATAAAAAATAAATGTTGACTGAATGAATGAAAAGGAAAGAGAGGAGGAACTGTCTTTATGGAGAAAGGAATTATGTCTACCTTCTTGAGGGTAGGAATCAGGTCATTCTCATCTGTGTAGCTCACGGCTGATGTGAACAAACAAATCATCAAAAGAGACAGCTGCATATGGCGCCCACTTTCCCTGGAAGAACTGCTACTACAGGAAGGCCAATTCCCTCTTCAGGTCAGACCCGGACCTGTGTCCCAGTGGGACCAGCTGCTGAAGGTTGTGTTCCGTCGGAGGGAAACACAAACTCCACCAGGTCATGCAGGGAAGGGTTAACGGTGTAATTCCTCTTCCTGAGCATAGCTAAGACACGGAAACCCTTCAGAGACCATCCAGTCCAACCCCTTCATTCTGTAGATGGGGACATGGAGAGTCAGAGCGGGGGTGACTTGTTGGAGTCGTACAGCGAAGTTAGTGGCCCAGGTCCCAGCCCCGAGCCCAGAAGCAGAAACACAAGGTTGTGCCAACTAACAAGAAACTCACATTTGACCCTGGAAATCAAACAGAAGCACGCTCAGGTCCCAGGATCCCCCTTCACAGAGGTGGACAAGGCGGTGACAGTAACTGCTTCTCCCGGGGGCTTTTCCTAAGGGAACGGTCCCCACCCTCTGACCCAACAGACTTTGGTGAAGGGACAGCCCTAAACAGCCACACGTTTTGTGACCTCCACAGCACACTCCCAACACAGGACGGTGGGTCAGGACATAATGGCAGCTGGTCAGTGACCTACAAAATGGAATGAAAAGATGAGCTGGGCCCAAAGTGGAAAGCATCAGGACGAAAGATAGAGAGGAGGTGAGGTTTAAAGAGAACCGATGAGACACAATAAGCCAGAAAACAAACAAGCTGAGGGCATGAGGCGTAGGAACCTCATGGTGACCGACGAAATGACATAGAGAAAAGACGAGAGTACAGGATGAGGA